TTCTATTTTCTGCAATCTTTGCTCTTTATCTCCGTAACTGCTGGACCTGCTTTTGCTAAAAAGTAAACAGCTCATCTCCCTATCAATAGAAATCGAATGTTTTTTGAACCATTCAAATCGGTTGATCCGTGCGCCCGAAAACGTGACTGAAAATTTGTATCCATACATACATACACACACACACACTCACACATCCATTTTTTCTGAGGTATGCCAAAACGTTCAGAAACCTTCAAAACGTCGAAAAATGTAAAAAAATTCAATTTCGATTTTCGGCCCATTACAATAACTTCCCTACGGGAAGTTAATAAACATAAAAGGCTTGGAAGGATTCGTATTCAAAGAGTTTAATATGGTATGATCACAAAACCATACATAGATACTTTGGATGGGCTGTAGCCAAAACGTATAGATTTTATAACAATTTTTTATAAAAATTTGTTTTTTTGATACCTGACATCATACAGTAGTGATATCAATTCTCGCTTGAAAATTGTAGATCAAAGATATGTTCCCAATTAAAAATAGTACATTTAGGGCACTGCAGTGTGAAATGGAAAAGTTTTCATATGACCAAGTGCTGTTAAAAATTTATTGCGAGATCGTCAATGCTCAATCATTAAAAAAACTATAAAAAGGTGCTAGAATAATTCTAATGATTGCTTGCATTATAATCACATTTCAACACAAAATAAAAACGTTTCTAAAACGTTCAAAAAAATATTAAAAAATTACAAAAACAAATTTATAACCAAAATTCGAACTAAACATTTGTGTGAGAAGAAATTTCATAACTCTGAATTTTTATGAATTTGATAATTTTGCCACTTTACCAATTTCATGCAGAAAAAGACAAAAATCTCCAGAAAAATTATTACCCTAAACGTTTAATGACTTTTAGAATATTTAGAATTTAGAATGTCGTGCTTTTTAGACTGATCATTGTCTCCAGACATAAAACAAGCAGTCAACAAACGCAGGAAAAATTATCATGTTCTCTAGTTGGCTAGTTATACCATAGAAATAAATACGGCGTCAATTATGACTAATTGAAAAATAAGCGACTGTGGTAACACTGCTCAACTGCGTTTTGTATTAGAGCACTTAATATAATTTAAAATAAACGGCATAATTTTTCAATATCAAAACACAAATTATCATAAACACAATTGTAATTCGTAACAAAATAATTCAGAATCGTACTAAACGCAGCTGAGGGATTTTATAGTTTATATCGATGTAATATAAAACAGGAAGTGCTCATCATAAATAGAAGCAAGTATTCCATAGTCTTGTCGGTTAATTGCAAAAGGAACTTGTCAATAAAATAAACATAAACAAAAATGATGTATGTTATGTCAAACTATTAATACAAATTAAGAAATAAAACAAAATTATGTTCTATAAAAGGAAACGGTCGCGTTACCAGCGTTACCATTAGTTATATTCATTTTCACTTCAAATATATTGAAATCGAATATGTTTCGCAGTGGAAATGACCCTTCCAAGCATTACTTGAAAAAAGTTTATAAAATCGACACAAGTAAAAAATGCCAATGGATTTATTAAAAATACTCATCACAAAAACATTAAAAATTCAGATTGCAGTTCCAAGAAATTCGAGCCTTTTCCGAAGTATTTTTTACCCCTTTTCATAAGTTTTTTTTTTAAATACGGTAAAACAACCGAAAAATTCGTAAATCAAAGTTTTTATCAAAAAAATAGCATATGATAAAAACAATATATTGCATGATAAAACTGCCATGACGCTAAGTAGTTATAATGGTTATAACACTAGAATCATTCCTCTATGCCTTTTGGAAATTGCTTCAAACTTGAAAATACCGCAGAAAATAAATTTAGATATTATTGTAAATGTATGTTCTTCAATGTCCACCAAATTTATATAAAACAAATTGCATAACACATAAAACAATATCAAGTGCACATCAGGCATGTTTTCGACAGAATGCGGGGCCGAGTTGCCGGTAGATAACGCCCAAATCGGTGCCGAGTGGAAAGGGTTATTTTTTTTTAATTATAATAAAAAAACTAGTGGTGCATCGTGCCTTGAGGCAAATTGCTGGTACTTCCCGTACTGTAACGAAATGTTCGGGAAACTTCCCGTACTGTAACGAAATATTGTAACATTGTATAATATTTATAAGAATTATATAAACTGAATTGCAAAGTTGAAATTATTTGTTTAAGTATATTAGAACGGTCAGAATTAAAAATAAAATCTGAATTATTTTCGATATACAAAAAAATTGAGATATTTGTTTTGCAAAAGCAATTGTTTTGTCAACACAAGCAGAAAGTTTTTTGACTCATTCAATTCGGATGCACATTTCTCTCAAAAACTGCCATTTTTGTATATTTAGCTTTTGTATCTTTGAAATGGCTGGGCCTGCCTTTACCAAAAACTAATAGCCATTGGTCCAAACCACTACTAATTGAATGTTTTTTAGATCATTCAAATCGGATGCTCCGTTCTCTCAAAAACTCGGTTTCCATTTTCTGCACTCTTTGCTCTTTATCTCCGTAACGACTGGACCTGCCTTTGCCAAAAACTAACCAGCACATCTCCCTATCAATAGGGATCGATTTTTTTTTTTGAACCATTCAAATTGGTTGATCCGTGCGCCCGAAAACGTGAACGAAAAATACGGACACACAAAACACACACACACATCCATGTTTTCTGAGGTATGCCAAAATGTTCAGAAACCTTCAAAACGTCGAACGTAAAAATTTTCATTTTCGATTTTCGGGCCCATTACTATAACTGAATGTTTTATAAAGGATTATATGTAATCAAATTAAAGTTACTAGTAGGTTTATTATTCCCAAAGGAGAAGTTTGTTTTTGTCAAAAAAATCCGATTTGCTAATTTTATGTTCCCTTGACGATTCAAGCCATTCTGAATCGAGTGAAACCAAATTTGGTAAAAAATATGTGTGTGTGTATGTTCACACAGATTTTTGACCTTTCGTCGACGATTTCTCAAAATTGAAAAGCCATTAAGATAAGGATTATGAGCCTTTGTCAGTTTTGTGGAACGATCAGCCAAGCTGTATCTTTGTAAATAGCAGAAAAGTGATTTTGTTTACATTTTATTCTGAAACGATTTTAAAACTTCAAAAACTGAAAGATATTTGTTGGGGAAGATACTGATTAGTTTTTGGTAAAGATTCGCCGGCACAAGTTCTTGTAATTAACTGTTGAAAAAAAAAATTCGACGATTTCTATGAAATTTTTTTTGGCGATAGATGTCAGGTCTTCTAGAACATACTAAAATGTCAATCCCTACGACAAGTCGAGATTAATTTTGAAAATTCATCAAAGATTAAAAAAATTAGTAGCGTTTTTTAAAGTTAAAATTAGCATTTTATGGACGTTTTCTCAAGAAAGGTTGAGTCAATTTAAAAAATTATGAGCCTTGATAAGCACTCGCGTTGATAAGATTTTTTATACGATCGGCTGAGCCGTTTCTTTGTAATTATCAGAAAAGTGAAAAATCCACCGTCCACGTTACAGCCAAAAATTCTGAATCGAGTGTGAAAATTCAAAAATTATTCGAAATATTATTTGGGAGACGTGCTCATTAAGTTTGGACAAAGATCGGCCCAGCCGTTTCTTTGTAATAACGGTTGAACATTTTGTTTTTCGATAAAACTTTTTATGTTGATAGATATTGTGGTCCTAGAGAACATACTAAAATTTTACGGCCCTATGGCAAGTAGTTTAATTTAAAAAAATCATCCAAGTTTGAAAAAATGGGCTAGCCCGTAGGTAAGCGGTTAAGAGCGACGGGACTTGTTTCAGAGGTCCCGGGTTCGATACCCACTTCGAGCAACCTGTTGTCAGGCAACAATGAACTGTTTTCACTTGGAAATATAGATAGCAATATATTTCCAAGTGAAAATAGTCCTCACCCGGCATTGTTGCACCAATAAAAATGTCAGCCCTATTAGACTAATTCTAATAACAAAAAATCATCAAATATGGATGGATTAACCATTGGGTTACCATCTAAAAAATACGAAGTAAGGAGTAGTTTCAGCCCAACAGCTCATACGACGTAAGGTTCTGATTGCTGTTCAAAAATTAAAATTTAAAAAAAAGAGTTTGAAAAAGTATAGCCAAAATTTGTGGCAGAACTTGCTTATGTGATGAGATGAGTCAAACATTGTCAACTCATTACAATTTGGAATAATAATTTACAATTTTAGAACATATAAGCACAAGTCTGTGGAATATAATTGATATAAACACAGAAAATTTCTTCGAGAAAATTCAATTGGAAATCGCAATATTTAGATTTAATTGAAAGCGAAAACTTTATTTTAGAAATAAACAGTTGAAAATTTTATTTAAATATCTAAATCTCAATTTCGGTTCATTAGGTCAATTATTACATATTTCGGGAAGTGTTTATGCAAATTGCCATAAAGCAAAATGCCACTTACAACTAGTTAATACTATGTAATAATTTAATATATTAATACTATTATAAATATATATATATATATATATATATATATATATATATATAGACTTAGATCAAATTATCAGATATTTTATAAAGATTTTAACAATAAGTATAAATTTTGTTTACATTCTTATGGGTTCCGTACCAATACTTATCCGTTAGACGGCGGTGCGGCGCTTAAGCGCTTCGATATTTCGTCTCTATGCAGTTAAAGCAGTACGATTGCTTTGAAAAAAAGTTCAGAATTTCCAAAATATTTCAAAATACACTTTTATTCAAAGTCTTTTTTTCAAAAAAAAGTAAATTTTTGTCAAAAATTTATAGTTTCTCAAAAATCTAATTTTTCAGAGTATTTTTTTTTTAAATGTTAATCTTTTAAAAAAAATAATTTTTGGTACGGGAAGTTCCAGCAATTTGCCTTAAGGCACGATGCCATGCGCCCCACTAGTTTAATGCTGATCTTGCCATGCAATATAATAAATATGAAATTATCGACTATCAATACCTGTATGTCAGCACGTGTAACAGTTTGGTAAACGAGCAACGTGCTGTACAGAACTGTCATCAGTGTCAATGCTTGCAAAGTCCATTTTAACCTTCCGCTCGCAATTAAGTTATTCCACATATCGTCCTCAGTCATTTATAATGGATTGGAAACGAAACAGTTCTATTGTAATTATCATCGAACTACTCATAATAAATTATTTATGTTTAATTGACTTCACTGAAATATTAACTTAATTCACTGTGTTGTATTGAACCGCAAAATTGTTGTCCTAGGTTATTTTCGCGTGCTAGGTTTACGTCGGCGATCGGTCGGGCTCGGCACGCGCAACTGGCTCAATTGACCTGCAACGCGTTCAAATGACTGACTCGTGTTGCGTTAAAAATTATTACGAGCAAGCAAACCGTGTACGTCGGCCGGTCGGGCCTCTTTCACGCCAGCGACGGCTTACGAACGGACGATGGCATGGGCGTAGCCGGAAAACCAGAACTACTGAAAATAAATACCGAGTATAACTAGTAGTGCATGGCATCGTGCCTTAAAGCAATATGCAGGAACTTCCCATATTGTAATGAAATTTTAAAAGAATTTTAAATGATTTAAAAAATTTTGAAAACTTCGAAAGATTTAGGTTTTTGAGAATTTGAAAAAAAATTGACTTTTTTGAGAAATTTGATTTTTTTTTGGTTTTAATTTTTTTTGAAAATTTAGATTTTTAACTTCCCGTAGGGCAAGTTATAGTTATCGGAAAAAAATCGAAAATGAAAATTTTTATATATCTTTACGTTTCAAAACCTTCTGAACATTTTGGCATACCTTAGAAAAAATTGATGTATGCGTGTGTGTATATGTGTGTGTATGTGTGTTTGTTTGTGTGTGTATGTGTGTGTGTATGTGTGTGTGTATGTGTATGTGTGTGTGCGTGTGTGTGTGCGGATACAAATTTTCGTCGACGATTTCGAGAAAACCGATCAACCGATTTAAATAATTTAAAAAACATTCGATTCATACTGATAAGGAGACATGCTGATTAGTTTTTGGTGGAGGCAGGTCTAGCCGTTCCGAAGACACGGGGCAAAAAGTGCCAGAAACGGTAATACGGTTTTTAAGAAAACGGAGCGTCCAATTTTAAAAATTTCAAAAACATTTTACTTGTATTGATAAGATGAAGAATTGATCAAATTTTCATGAAGGCAGGTCTAGCGGTTTCGCAGATCTAATGGAAAAAGTAAAACAAAAAACCATTTGGCGGTCAAAAATGATCATTAGACATATGCACATCAAATTATCAGATATTTTAACAATAAGTATGAATTTTGTTTACATTTGTATGGGTTCCGTACCAATGTTTATACGTTAGACGGCGACACGGCGCTTACGCGCTTTGACATTTTGTCTCTATGCAGTTAAAACAGTATGATTGCTTTGAAAAAAAGTTCAGAATTTCCAAACTATGCCAATATAAAGAAAACTATTTTTTTCAAACAATTTTTTTTGTTTCTCAAAAATCTAATTTTTTCGAAGTAAAATTTTTTCAAAAATGTTAATCGCTTTTAAAAAAATAATAATTTTTGGTACGGGAAGTTCCAGCAATTTGCCTTAAGGCGCGATGCATTAATTGCCTTAAGACAGAATTCCACTTACAGCTAGTTTCATTAGATCTCCGAAACCGCTATTTGAATTATTCAAATCGGTTGATCGGTGTTCCTGAAATCGTCGACGAAAATTTGTATCTGCACACATACACACACGCACACACACACACATACATACATTTTTTCTAAGGTATGCCAAAATATTCAGAAACCTTTGAAACGTAAAGATATATAAAAAATTTCATTTTCGATTTTTTTGCGATTACTATAACTTGCCCTACGGGAAGTTAAAAATTGACTTTTTTGATAAATTTGATTTTTTTTTGTTTTAATTTTTTTATTATTTTTTATTATTATTATTAAATACGCACATTGACATAATAGTTTTCTTTCCAACTTCCCCTTTCAACTAATACATAATGTTTACTTTAATCTTTTTTTTACTTGATCTTACGCCCTCCAAAAATTTAATCATAAAAATAACCTGAGCCAATTAGTATACCACTTGCTTACTATTATATAATTTCTTTTTTCTGTTAACGTTCGTGTGCATGTATGTATGCATGCTTGCGTATATGTTAATTTTATCACAATAGCTCATAAGATACTTTGTATTCTGATTGCTGTTAATGAAGAAATAAATAAAAAAATAAAAAAAAATCAACAAAGTAATAAATAGTAATTTGCCCGAAGGCAGGTCCATGGTAGCAAACATACATACATACACACGAATTATATATATATATATATATATATATATATATATATATTTCGTTGTAATTACGATAACTGATTAACATAAAATTTATGAGAATTTTAATATTAGGTGCGAGTGTCAATTATATGCATTAGGTTTATTATTGTTAATGCATTTTCTAGAACATATTCTCCATTTTTTTATATTCACTGATGACCTAAAGTTATAATTTGGAACCCCCTGAGATCTTGTTTATTTTATACATATATGAGCTTTTATTTATCAAAAATAAATATAAAAGGAACGCATTAGACTTACGCTCAGTTTATAAATTGAACTGATGATTCAGTATTGGATTTGAATTATTAGTTTAACGTGTAGTTTGAACTACACGCATACATTTATATAAAATAGTACATCATGCCAAAAACAGGATTTTATACATAATGAATTTTACATTCATTGGTATCAAACGGCAACTGGGTGCAATTTGCTGTTACAGGCGCAGATACGTTTATAAAGCACTTTGCCAACTTTACGATGTCGTATACCTTAGCAATGTTATTATATATTATTCAATAATCTTACTTTAAAAATTTCTCGAGACATCGTTTTATCGGTTAAATTATATTCCTCTTTAAAAACAGTGAGATCATTCTGCCTTACTATTAACTATTCAAATGAACAAATTTATTGTTGTTTTAACAATATTTTTTTCGAAATTTTGATTGAAATTATTGTTGGAAGGATAACAGTAAAAATATTAATAAAATTATTATAATTAATAACACAGTGCGTTCCACTATTCGATGGATAACTTATAAAAAAATTTCATTCTGATTAAGATTGGCAGAAAAGCTGGTAGGGTATGTCTAGGTTTATACACCTCATTTATAATCCTAGCTCATATATATATATATATATATATATATATATATATATATATATATGTGTGTGTGTGTATGTGTTTGTGTATGTGTGTTTGCAATAGTAATAGTAACCGTACAATAGTAAATAGTAAGTTGAAATAGTAAGATAAGTCCTCGCGCTATTTGAAAAATTTTAGAACTTGTTCTTCATGAAAAAATTCTGTTAAGATATAAAAGAGCGTCGTCCTTTAATACAAATAGCAACTTTCTTTCATGTACACAAATTATTTGAAAAGTGCGATTGTTGTTCTTGCGATTCGAGAATGGTTGGTTCTCCTGAATAGATAGCATACAGTCATACATACGACACACATCAACCATTTCTTATAATGCGCCTTATTATATCAAGACGATCATAAATCCTGAAACGTGAAAACATTTAAACAATTATTTTAGATTCTTTAAATTACATCCAGTAATAACACATTTGCAGCTTCTATGTCACGAAAAGAAATTCGACGCGTTTGCTGTAGAAGATATTAGTGAAAGAAGATGTAAAAGTATTTCAAACTAAATTTCATTAAATCTGGAGCTGTCGCATTAATTATAATTTTTACATCATTTTTAGCACTTGAGCAGACATGTGGTTAATACGCAATAAAAAAATCTTATGCCTATATTATTGCTTATAATTATGGTCCATGGGCTGTATTTTGTCGATTTCAATCTTCCATTGCAATTTCATTACTCGTAAACACTTTGTAACAATTTTGTAACAAACCTTTTATAACAATTTTGTTTTGTAGCTATCGCAACAGCTACTTGTGCACTTGCACCACAAATTTATTAGACGATAAAGTCTTGTGGAATACGAATGTTTTATTTGTACGAGCACTTGTACAGCTCATAACACAATAGTAATTATAGTTAAAAGTTGTGATTCTTAATTATTTCTGCTGTTTTTTTGTTTTTGTGACGTTATTCAATAATACCACATTGAACATCATCATACCACTATAGCAACAGTGGTGTTTTATTTATTTTTAGGCAGCTAATTATATATATATATATATATATATATATATATATATATATGGATTGTTTCTTTTCCGAACAGTAAATCCAATAATAAAAAACAATTTGTTTTTTGAAGATGTTTAATAACGACGTTTCGGAACTAGATACGAACTAGATAGTGGATTGTACTTTTAAAAGACTTTTCTGAAAGCAGTTTTATCTTTTTGAATTCGTCAAATTGTGTTAATAAAAGATCAGATCATAACATCATTCATGATTCGTATCTAAATTTTTTAAACCTAATTAAAAACGATTAATCCTTTAACAATTTTGTGTGTATATATACATGTATATATGGATGTGCATATATTACTGCATATATGTGCTTATATGTACGTTTTTATACGCTATATACATGTACTTGCGTATATGTTCGTGTATATAATTGCATGTGCATGAATATATGGATATATGCAGTGTATATGCATTTATGTGTATGCAAGTGTGCATATTTATGTGCATGTATATATATATATATACATAATAATATTTCTTAACATTCGCTGAAGCAATATTTTCCCATGTTTCGTAAATTACCAATTCAAAAGCCATAAAAAATTATTTTGCCTAAATTCCGTACATATCCCTTACATCTGGCCGACAGAACTCTATAACATCAGTGTGTTAAAGTCTTGTGAAGTCAAAACATTAACAAATATCCTCGGAAAAAATCGAGTGTTTTTAACAAAAAATATTAGTGATATGGATATATAAATTATTACAGGTAAATAATTTTTGCTTCTCAATTTTATATAAAACCTTTTTTAGTTAATTTTTATTACTCTTTACCCCGGTATTCCTTTATAACTTTTCTAAATAATCTGTAATAATCATCATTAATTAATGTTAGTCAATAGTTTTAAAAAAACATTGTCTTTGACAGAATAAACCTGATGATGGAACGTATCTAGTTCCGAAACGTCGTTATTAAACATCTTCAAAAAACAAATTGTTTTTTATTATTGGATTTACTGTTCGGAAAAGAAACAATCAATATATTGAAAAAATCCAGGACTTATCTATTGAATACATATATATATTTATATATATATATATATATATATATATATATATCTATATATATATATATATATATATATATATATTTAATCTACAGGAACATAATTACATATTTCAAATTATATTATTAATATATATTATTTATATTAAAATATAATACAAGTAAGATTATACAATAATTTCGTACATACATATTAACGTTTATCATATTGCATTTAATCTCAGTTAGGACTAGCATCATATTGACACTTGTCTAAGTTGTCTTCATAAATGTTCAAAATAATACACTATTCACAGAACAAATGACTCAAGATGGTGTTGAGAGATGTAATGTTTCTAACTTACTCTCATGTTAAATATAATGTTCTTGCATCTTCTTTGAATTTATCTAAGAGCTTTCGACAAATGCTATACCGACGCCTGATTGATTCAGTACTTTCATAAAGCTGTCGTTTCCAGCTGATCTTTGATTTCTCGCGCTGCCACTGTTACATTGGCCGCAAGGATATGGTATGGGTATAGCTGATGGAAACAGCGGTTGCAGTGTAGTCGGCTCTGGTCCTTTCGTGTTACCATCCGGACAATACGGGAAGAACACAACCGGCAGAAAACCTTATGACAAGTATTGATAAAAATAATTACTTTATTTCATTTTGAAGTGAGACGCAATACAATGGGAATCAGAAAAATTAAAGTATGCATTTAATTATGTGTTACACGTTAACGCTAATGCACGTTAGGCAAATATATTCACCAAAAACTGCACAAAAGTCCTTAATTCGTGCATTATTCAATATTTTTTATATATACAGTACATGCCAAAAGTTTCCGGACACATGAAAAAAATCTCATTTTCTGAGTTTTTAGCTATATTTTTCATATAAAAATAATTTTATTCAAGTTGGTTTTGTATATTCTACGTAGTATTAATATTTAGTGGCTGATTTGTAACCAATTTGTGAGAAATGATAGACTAATTAGCAATGAAAATGTTAAAATGTCACTGCGGTCGATTTTCTTGAATATGACCACCCTTTGCTTTGATCACTGCAGCGCATATTTTTGGTAATCTTTCGACAAGTTTTTGCAATGTTTGCGCAGGTATGTTCTTCCAGGACTCGTTAAGGAATTCCACGGGACAGGGAAGCTGGTTGGATGCAAATTGTTCACGCGGCGTTTAAGCTCGTCCCACAACAGGCCACTCCATTATTTGAAGTATATTTTCGTCTTGTTTTCGCTTCAAATAATTGGCACAGAGTCGGGAAGTGTGTTTAGAGTCATTATATTGTTGAAAAATAAATTTTGGACCAATTAAATTAAGACCAGAAGGAATGGCGTGGCGCTGAAGTATGCTATGATACTGTTCTTTCTTTAATGTTCCATGTATTTTGACAAGCGATCCGACTCCATTGAACCCAAAACAACCCCAAGTCATCACTGAACCATCACCGTGCTTCACAATGCAAATCGATTCAAGCCCGCTTCATAATGGAGTGGCCTGTTGTGGGACGAGCTTAAACGCCGCGTGAAGGATTTGCATCCAACCAGCCTCCCTGCCCTGTGGAATTGCCTTAACGAGTTCTGGAAAAACATACCTGCGCAAACATTGCAAAAACTCGTCGAAAGATTACCAAAAATATGCGCTGCAGTGATCAAAGCAAAGGGTGGTCATATTCAAGAAAATCGACTGCAGTGACATTTTAACATTTTCATTGCTAATTAGTCTATCATTTCTCACAAATTGGTTACAAATCAGTCACTAAATATTAATACTACGTAGAATGTACAAAACTAACTTGAATAAAATTATTTTTATATGAAAAATGTAGCTAAAAACTCAGAAAATGAGATTTTTTTCATGTGTCCGGAAACTTTTGGCCTGTACTGTATATTAATGTCCTGGTTTAATAAGGACCTATTCATATTGTGAATTATAATGACAAAGAATAATTTGATCAAATCAAATGAAAATTCTGCGGTATTTACCTATAACTGCGCCTGGCGGCAAATTTTCAGGACGAATTGAACTAAATGCAGGCGTGCCAGACGGTCTATTAAAGGCAGCTAGTTTAGTATCACTACTTTCAGGACCAACCAGATAGCACGGGCAAGTTGATGTTGTAATTTTTGGTACGGTGATTGGTTTCACAGATAAAGGTGGCAAACATTTATCGCCAGACGTGGGCGGAGTGAAAATGAATCCACCGTCAAAACTGTTTGAAGCTAAATTAAAAACAAATTATATAATTATGTTATTCCTCGTACTATATGGGTAATACACATTTGCAAATATTCGTACTATGAATTACTTCAATAAATTTTTAATAATATTAATATTTAATATATGAATGCATCTGAAACCGAATGTACTTCGCAAGCCATGTAAAATATGTGTATGTATAAATTTATATATATATATATATATATATATATATATACATATTATGTATACAAATTTTCTGTAATGATGTATATAAAGATGCTCCTCCGAAAGGATTATTCGGATTTCAATAAATCTTTCTGAAGTTTGTCAATGGAAATTTTTAGGATATAAATGATTATAAAAATATAGTAATAGAAATAAATAAAAAAAAAAATGCAAAAAACATGACATTGAAGATAGTTTGACAAATGAAAACTGTCACCAGCCAGAAATTTTAATTTACTTATGAGTCTAGATAATATTAGAATATAATATATTCATGATTATGAATAAGAAAAATGTAATGATTACATTAGTATTGGCAAAAAGCAGCTGAGATGTACCAGAAATTAAAATAATATATGATACAGTAAATGTTTGGTAGATGAAATTATATAATTCAATTTGACAGATTATTATTTTTAACTAAAGTACAATACAAAAAAATAATTACTTTTTCAAAAAATTATTTAGAAGTTTCATTGTGTCAAAAAAGCATTCGTTTGGCATTTGATACGGAATATTTACTGATGTCGATAGAGTGTTTTGGGTCTGAATTTTTTTACTGTGCTCCAATTTGCATTTGGAATTAGGTTCATCTTACTCTCAAGTTCAAGAATTAAAATAATTTAGAGTCCGCCGTCACCCCCCGAGAGATTACAACCCTTTTCAGTGGTGTAATTTTATTTTTCACAGAATAACGTCGAATATCGATAGAAGAACTAATTATAAGAAAAAAATGTTTTATAATATTTTTCAAAAAAGCACATACTTTTCAAGTTACTGGTTACTAAAAATTCGTTTCTTTTTGATGTTATTCGTCGGTTTTCTGCAAATATCTCCAAAAATATACATTTTAACGAAAACCATGTAATGAACAAAATAATATCAATTAAAAACTTAATAAATTGGTGTTTTATAATGTGTCCTAGAAACAATATTAAGCTAGATATGGAAAAGAAGGTCGTTTTTCATTTCGTTCGAAATTTAATTGTTGTATTTGTAGCCATCGAGCGGCGAGGTTTCACATTTTATATAATCCATTTGGTTTTACAAGCTTTAAAATGAGTACTGTCAAGGGTCTGATTTTATTTTCTTCATTTAAATCAAATAATTTTTATGAGTGCCACCAAAATTAAAATTAATCGTATTACATTTAGAATTAACTGGGTTCAAGAGATTCCAAAATATCAAATAAAATTATCATTATTCTTTTTACATTTCATATAAAAAAATTATAAAAATATATTGTATTGACAAGTTAGTTGTATAAATGTTAGTGCTAATGAATAGTGTTGTATACACATGTTTAGATGTAAGCTACCAAAGTTAATATACACTGATGATGACGGAATTAAGGTTAATTTATAAATCTTTTTAATTTATAAATCTTCTTTTATTCTTTGATGTATCGCCCTACAAAAACTTACATATATATCTCAACAACTACTAAATCATATATATATATATATATATATATATATATATATATATATATATATATATACATTGAATTGAATAAAACAGCCAATGCTTCAAATGTAAAGAATTTATTTTATTTACTGTAGAAAAGCAAAAATAATTTAAGAAAAGACCAAAAAAGGTAAAAGTAAAATTGTATGAAACACATAATTTTGTTTTTAACCAATTTAATTCATACAATTTTACTTTTACCTTTTTTGGCCATTTCTTAAATTATTTTTGCTTTTCTACAGTAGTAATATGTGATTGTGGTGTTGTAAAATGTGTTAATATAGTGTGGTTTTTCCTGATCTGGTGTGTATAATTGTAGTTTTCAATTAATTTTCCAATATAAATTCATTTTTCAAAACTTTTTCTTTATAATGTAAATTTCTTTTAGCTGAATGATGAGACACATCTAGTCTCGAAACGTATAAAAAATATAATAAATTCTTTACATTCGACGCATTGGCTGTTTTATTCATTTCAATATGTTTCAACGTCGAACAAAAAATCCTCAATATATATATATATATATATATATATATATATATATATATATATATATTATGTTTTTAGCTTCTCGCCACAAACCTTTAATTTGTAATAGTCCTTTCAGTAATCGAAAAATTTTCATCACTCTTTCAGTCAATGAATGTTTTTCGATTAAAATTTTCTTAAACATATGGAAAAGTTTAAATTTAACTTCAAACATCTTATTTTTAATTAAGGGTTGTCCACTACTAACTACTCCTAAAAAATATACACCAGTCCAAGTATCCCCTCCTACCACGAATCCTTATTTCATAATGATGGTTTTATTAGTCGAATCATATTTCTCCATGCCTTTTTCAAAATAATTTTTAGTTATTGGCGACGGAGACGATGTCATCGATGTAACAAGATGCCCTAAATTATTGAATAATTCGTGCATAATCACTGATTTTCAGCACACACAGTACATAGTTTATTAACGGCTTGCAGAAAAAGCAAAAATATTGAAATCTGATAATACAACAATAATTGAGAGGAAACTAGGTACCATACATTTTTTTTAAATCTTACTTGATTCGCTAGGCATGCCACATCATAATTCAAAAATGCATGTTCTGATTAAGAGAATAATGAGATAATGTGCCAATTCAATTTAAATAAAATCAGTTTCAGGTTACGTTGTTACTTGCGATGACTACCCATAAACATCCAACAGTGGCATGCTTTGCAGTTAGTAAACCATCCAGATTATTGGTGTTAATTGCCCCTTTTACTTATATACCACATACTTCCACCATCACAATCAGTTAATTTTTATACTATAATTTTTCCAGAAATATTTTTTATGGTTAGTATCTATATACGAGTATATATGCAAATAAAATATATTAAAGAAAATTACTTGATCCTCCTGGGCCGCCAAAGTGACATAGATCTTTTCCCCCAGAAACTGCGGGTCCTCTTGCCCCTTGTGAAAAAGCTGAAATAGAAATAAAATCCTGATACTATAAGGGAAATAGCTACATATATTTAAAAATTAGCAAAATATTGTCTTCGTTGTATGTAGTGTCGAGCTTTAAAATCGTTGCCATTTAATGATAGGGACTGTATGCAATTTTTATATGCCCTCAAATATCTGCCACAAACTAACTCAACAATTTACATCTACAATTGCAAGTGTTAAAAGTGTTCAATAGATCTATTAGTAAAAAACAGTTATCAATAATAATATCGGAGACTTGATATTCACATACCGGATAAATCTCCTGGAGCCTTAGATGTTTTTGCAACATCGGTGATTTTTGAACCACCTGGAACAACTAGGCTTCCTGTGCTACTCGGTAATTTTCCAAAACTTCCAAAGCTGCTTGAGATACCTTGAATGCCAGGACCACCAGGAACGTTCGGGCTTCCTAAGCCTGCTGGACCACTGGGTCCTCTTGAACCACCAGGTACGCTTTTACCACCTGATCCAACTGAGCCGCTTGGTCTGCTAGGACCACTTGGTCCATAAGGACCATCAGGTCCACTTAAACTACCGGATCCTCTCGGACCACTTGGTCTACCAAGCCCGCTTGGACCACCTGAACTGCTTGGACCACCTGGTCCGCTTGGTCCAATTAATCCATATTGACCTCCAGATCCACTTGAGCCACTGGCTCCTTCTGGACTACCGGGTCCTCTTGGACCACTCGGTACTTTTCCAATACTTCCAAAGCTGCTTGGGGTACCTTGAATGCTAGAGCCACTAAAAGCGTTCGGTCCTCCTAAACCTGTTGGACCACTTGGTCCTGTTTGGCCACCGGGTCCTCTCAGACCGCCAAGCGCGCTTGGCCCACTAGACCCTCTAGAACCTAAAACGGGCACGCTTTGACTACCTGGTCCAATTGAGCCACCTGGTCTGCTTTGACCACCTAGTCCGCCTGGACCACTCGTTCGGCTTGCACCACTCAATCCGCTTGGACCACCGGGTCCTCCTAGACCACCGACTCCTCTTGGGCCTCCGGGCCCGCTTAAACCACCAGGCCCAATTGGACCACCGGGCCCAATTGGACCACTGGGTCCTCCTGGACCACCAACTCCTCCTAGGCTTCCAAGCCCGCTCGGACCACTGGGTCCTCTTGGACCACTAGGCGCGCTTGAGACACCTGGTTCGAATGAGCCACCTTGTCGGCTTTGACCACCTAGTCCGCTTGGACCACCAGGTCCTCCTGGGCCACCGGGTCCTCTTGGGCCACCGGGTCCTCTTGGGCCACCGGGTCCTCCTGGGCCACCTTGTCCTCCTGGGCTACCGGGTCCTCCTGGGCCACCGGGTCGTCCTGGGCCACCGGGTCCTCCTGGGCCACCGGGTCCTCCTGGGCCACCGGGTCCTCCTGGGCCACCGGGTCCTCCTGGACCACCGGGTATTCTTGGACTACCGGGTCCTCCTGAGCCACCAAGTCCCCCTGGGCCACCGAGTCCCCCTGGGCCACCGCGACCCACTGAGCTACCGGGTGCCCCTGAGCCACTGGGTTCTCTTAGGCCACCAGGCGCGCTTGACCCACTGGGTCCTCTAGAACCACCGGGTACGCTTTGACCACCTAGTCCACTTGAACCACTCGGTCCGCTTGAACCACTGGGTCCTACAGCACCACCAATTCCTCTAGGGCCTCCAGGCCCGCTTAAACCACCGGGTCCTCCTAGACCACCAATTCCTCTTGGGCCTCCAGGCCCGCTTAGACCACCGGGTCCTCCTGGACCACCAATTTGTCTTGGGCCTCCAGGCCCGCTTGGACTACCGGGTCCTCCTGGGCTAACGAATATTCCTGGGCGTCCAGGTCCTCCTGGACCACTAGGTCCTCCTGGACCACTAGGTCCTCCTGGACCACTAGGTCCTCCTAGGCCACCTGGTCCGCTTGGACCTCGGGGCCCGCTTGGACCTCCGGGTCCGCTTGGACCTCCGGGTCTGCTTGGACCTCCGGGTCCGCTTGGACCTCCGGGCCCGCTTGGACCTCCGGGTCCGCTTGGAACACTGGGTCCTCTTGAACCGGCGGGTACGCTTTGACCACTTAATCCACCAGGTCCACCGGGTCCACCAGGTCCACCAAATCCTATCGGCCCAGGTCCTCCAGGTCTTCCGAATCCACCGTAACCGCCAAACCCGCCACCTATAATAAATTACAGATGCCATATATATATATATATATATATATATATATATATATATATATATATACTAAATGATCCGATAGACGTTGTCCTGTACTCACATCTACGTTTTTCAATATCCTATACTAATAATTACCGTTCTGTTAAAATTAATAATTATTGTTTTTCGAATTACTAATTACACCAATACACGAAAAAAGTGCATTTTCATATTAACATTTCAAAAAAGGTGATATTTTGAGTTTCTAGTAACACTTGCGATCCGTTTAGTAACGTTTTTGTATATATATGTATATATATATATATATATATATATATACAACTACGAACAAAACTACTTATTACAATTTAATCATAATTAAACAAATTTCACGTAAATCATCTTATTAAACGTAATTGAACATCATCTGTCAAAGACTAAGATTAGCCAAATCCGTACAACCATTTTCGAGTTTTAGCTGATAATTTTATCGAGAGCTCCATTTTTATATATATATATATATATATATATATATATATAAAGTATAGATATAAATAATATAAAAAGTATAAATATTAACTGAAAACGATAAAAAAAATTTTTTTCTATGTTCCTTGCGCATGATCGCTGGAAAATTCTTCATAACTGTAACCTCTAAAATTCTCTCTATCCCGTTCTCTCATCCAATGACGATACAGTTTCCACTATTTTCAGCTGCAAACACGTAGGCCCACATTTTACTCTCGTTTACACACACGTAACTCTGTTTCCAAACTAACAAGATGTGCTTTTGGAATAACCTTTTTTATAATAAACATATTATTTATTTTAATTTTTACAATTTTCAAAAATTTTCATAACTTGATGTTTTTTCAATTTTTTATTTCATACTTATTTTTTCGTTGCAATTTTGTGTTGTTCTTTGTGTTATATTTTTTTAAAATTTATTTGTATGGTGAGTTTCTTTACATTTGTTTATTTTATGTTGTTTTTCATATATACTTTTCATATACATTGTTTCTACTTATTTTTGTCTGTAATTATGTATCTTTTATATTATTTTTTATATTGTTTTAATTTGTAACCCTGATATATTTATTTGTAGCACTGAAGATGGGTCAAATCTGGACCCGAAACGTATGTTCTCTTAATTAAAACATTTTGCATTAAAACTGTTTTTTTAATTATTGGATGGATGCCCAAGAAACAATTTTTATCATATTATTTCACCATCTGAAGAAAAACCTCTCGCTTTATATATATATATATATATATATATATATATATATATATATATATATAAGATATATATATGTATGTACCTTTTAGACCACCCGGTGTTCCTGAACCTTTCGTGCCAAAAGCGTCACCAGGTTTGCTTTGACCACCTTGTCCAATAAGGCTTCCCGTGCTACTCGGTAATTTTCCAGCACTTCCGAAGCTGCTTGGAATACCCTGGATTCCAGAACCGTCAGGACCTCGCGGATCTTTCGGGCCTCGTGGACCACCGGAACCGCTTGTACCCACTGGTCCACGTAATCCACTTGAACCACCTGCACCGAAACCGCCGAATACGCCACCTTTAAAACAAATTACAATTGCACACTCCGTAATTAATGCCATATATTTGTGGACTGTTAGAAATGGCGAGTCCGTCTAGACCATTCAAAATACCTGCGCCACTTGGACCTCGTGAATCTTCTGGTCTTACACTTGCTGAGACCCCTGGAGATCTAGGACCATCTTTTACCGGAAGATACCCCCTCGGAATGGTACCGCCTAAACCATCTGGTCTACCTGGTCCACCCTGACCGGGTTTGCTTGGACCAGCAAATCCGCTCGAACTCACGGGTCCGCTTGGACCTGGTCCAAATGAACTCCCTGGTCTGCTTAAATCAATTAATCCAGTTGAAATACCGGGTCCGCTAGAACCGCTTGGTTTGCTTGGGGCACCTGCTCCGCGTTGACCACCTGGCAAGCTTGGGCCACCTAGTCCACTTGGACCACCTGGTCCACTTGGACCACCTGGTCCACTTGGACCACCTGGTCCACTTGGACCACCTGGTCCACTTGGACCACCCGGACCTTTTGGACCTCCCGGGCCCTTTGGACCACCCGGGCCCCTTGGACCACCCGTACCCCTTGGACCACCTATGCCACCAAAACCATCAACGCCTTTAGGACCTCCAGGACCACCTAATCCTGTTGGACCTCCCGGTCCACCGGAACCACCAAAACCACCACCTTTAAATGAATTACAAATGCACGGGCTATAATTAATGTCATTATGTAAAAAGTTATATTTAATATGCATGAATCACCTGGACCCCCCTGATGTACGTAATCTTGTGCTCCCGGTCCATCTAAAACATTGTTATATTTATTTTAAGTAATTATTACTGTTATTATAGTCTACTATTTTAATTATTACCTGGTCCAGCTTGATGAACATATTGACCATCACTGTCCGGTTTATATTGCCCACTACCATCCGGTTTATACCTATCTGGTCTATATTGACCACTTTCAGAAGGGGCGCCTAAGAATGAACAAATTAATTAGTTCATTCATATTTCACATATTACCTAGGCTCGGTGACGTTCATATCATAATTTGTCAAATATATATATATATATTTTGGTTTGCTCTGGGTTTATAATACAAAAAGGCGGAAGGGAGATATTTGACAACCTTATATATATATATATATATATATATATATATATTTATATATATAAATATATATTTATATATATATATATAAAATTATATATATATATATAAAATTATATATATATTTATATTTATATCATTGTCTGACATTGAAAATATTTCGACACATGAAAAATTACATGAAATTTGATTTACTTGAAATTTGAATTTAGTTGAAACGAGTCTAGATACTATTAGTATATAATATCCATATTTATGATTATAAATAATAAAAATGTAATATCTACATTATTATAACCAAAAACCAGCTGAGATGTGCCAGAAATTCAAACAATATAAGATACAACTAGTGGTGTATGGCATTTAAAAAAATCACAAATAGATAGTGTGTGATATAAGTGTTGTTCGTAGACTGATTGATGGTATAAATTCAACCAGTCTACGAACAACACATACATTACACACTATCTATTTGTAATTTTTTTAAATTAGTATTTTGTGAAAATATTATTCAATTACAAGTTTAATGTTTATATCACGAGCATTACCATATACTGATACCATAGATCATTAAATTCTTCCAATTTAACTCTAAGATTAACTAATTTTTCCACTGAATGGAGGCTAGGATTATAGCCGAAACGTATGAATGTAAAATAAATTTTTGAAAGAAATTCATGTTTTTTATTGATGTTATGCCCGATTACTATAGACTTTGTTGATACATATGTCAACATCAAGTTCAGAATCATACAATATATATATATATATATATATATATATATATATATATATATATATAAGCTTTACATAGTTTTATTTACACACACATATGATTACACATGATTAAATAAATTTCATAATAAAAATAAATCGCTGATTTTTGACATGTTGAAGTACCAAAAATGATGCAATTTTTGTATGGCAGACCTCTAAGGTGAGGTCCCAGGGGTATATAAGGTTGCCGTGGCCGAGTTTGTTAACGGGCGTACCTGTGGATGAGGTCGCGTGTTCCCTTCCCCGCTACGGCAATCTGACATCGGGCAGCGCAATGTCCAATTGAAAAAATCTTAATACTTAGAAATTTAGATAAAGGTGATTTTATTTTACTTTGGTCAATTAAGTTTTTTTTACTGTGGTCATAAAAATGTTATTCACGGTTACGGTTTTGAAGCTCGAATAAACGATATTAGTAAAAGTTGATCGCAATATCCGAAAATGGTCGGAAATATATATATATATATATATATATATATATATATATATGTATATATATATATATATATTGACAGAAATTAAATGTGTCTCGAATGATTGACATCTCTTTTCATTTCATTTCTAAAAAATATATCATGAAAAAGTGACCACTGATACTGAGTACTTTATTCCAAGTATTAATTACTTACATGTTAAATATCTTTCATATGTATTAGTGTTAGTCTAATAATTTCAAAACCACTGATGATAATGTAGGATTTTACGTCGAAACATATGGCAAAATAGAGAAAGTTATAAAAATCTTTATTTTGATTATTTTTACTAGATGTTACGCCCTCCAAGAAACTAATCATACATTTCAATATGTAATTTAAGGTACTAGGTACACTATTACAATATACAATATAAGGTATAGGTACACTATTCCGGGATAGTACACTATTCATACACAAGTTCCAGCAATTTGCCTCAAGGCACGATACATACACCACTAGTTCTATTTTTGTTTTGGAAGTTTTTCAACTTATTATATTTTTCTGATTTAAAAAAAAATTAAATATATGTTTGCAATTATATCAAAGTAATATTATTTAATTAGCCATATTTTTTATAACCAATTCAAGTATATTCATCAGGGCAATACGATCAAAAATGTATGCTTCAAGTGCTATCACGGAATAGTATACAAAGATTCTCGTCATTATGCCACGAGCCGAATTTTATCACGGAATTAGAGACAAATTCGTGGTTCAGCAAAATGCCGATTATTTCTATAAATAAAATTGTACGCCGCAAAATTGTGTTCTATAATAATCTTATAGGTCTGTTCACTTTCCTACTGTTTTTATAAATCATCTTTATTTTTTTTTTATTTAAAGTCAAACGTTAAACATCCCGTAAAACGGTACATTTAACTTATGTATATATATATATATATATATATATATATATATATATATATATATATGTGTGTGTGTATATATAATGTAATACCTGTTTTTACAGGAGTTGCAAAGCCACTTAGACCCTTTTGACCAACCGGTGTTCCTGAACCTTTCGTACCAAAAACGTCACCAGGTCTCCCTTGACCACCTGAACCAAATAAGCTTCCTCCACTGCTCGGTAATTTTCCAATACTTCCAAAACTACTTGGTGTGCCTTGAGTCACTGGACCGCCTGGACCTTTTGGGCCTCCAGAACTTATTGGAACATGAGGTCTTCTTGCACCGCCGGGTCCGCTGGGACCGCTGGGACCGCTGGATCCGCTAGGACCGCTTGGTCCTTTTGGACCGCTGGGTCCGCTGGGACCCCTGAGTCCGCTGGGTCCACTTGGACCGCTGGGTCCACTTGGACGGCTGGGTCCACTTGGACGGCTGGGTCCACTTGGACGGCTGGATCCGCTGGGACCCCTGAGTCCGCTGGTTCCGCTGGGACCGCTTGGTCCGCTGGGACCGCCGGGCCCGCTGGGACCGCTGAGACCGCTGGGACCGCTAGGACCGCTTGGTCCTTTTGGACCGCTGGGTCCGCTGGGTCCGCGGAGACCGCTGGGTCCACTGGGTCCACTGGGTCCTTTTGTACCACCTGGTCCGCTTAAACCACTTTGACTTTTTAGACCGCCCGTACTTATCGAACCTCCTATGCCACCAAAACTACCAAATCCTTTAGGACCTCCGGTTCCATCAGATCTTCCCGGGACACCAAAACTGCCAAACCCGTCACCTTTAAAATAAATTATAAATGTATGTATAAATATATATAATATATTTGAAAACATTTTATATTCACGGAACATTTTGTTACGGTACGGAAAGTTCCAGCAATTTGTATTAAGGCACGATGCCATACACCACTAGTTCTATCTTTATTTTGAAAGTTTTTCAACTTATTATATTTTTCTGATTTAAAAAACATTTAAATAAATGTTTGAAATTATATCAAAGTAATATAATTTAATTAGCCATATTTTTATAACCAATTCACGTATAATATCAGGGCAATACGATCAAAACTGTATGCTTCAAGCGCTATCACGGAATAGTATCAAAACGCAATACGATCAAAACTGTATGCTTCAAGCGCTATCACGGAATAGTATACAACGACTCCCGGCATTATGTCACGAGCCGAATTTTATCACGGAATTAGGGACAAACTCGTGGTTCAGCAAAATACCGATTATTTCTATAAATAAAATTCTACGCCGCAAAATTTTGTTATATAATAATCTTATAAGTCTAATTTGTAGAGAGTTAGATTGTAGAAATAAATGAAAAAAATTACAAAAAAACGCTTATCATTGGTTGACCTTGAAAATATTTGAGTCATAGTTTGACATTAAAAACAAATGAAGACTGTCATTTGCCAAACATTTCCATCCACTTATAGGCTAAGACATTATTAGAATGTAATATATTCATGATTATGAATAAGAAAAATGCAATGTCTACATTATTTTTGCCGAAAAGCGGCTGAGATGTGCCAAAAATTAAAATAATATAATAAGATGGAGTCAATACGCACCTGACAGGTGATGCAATCTGCGCATGCGTCTCACGGTTGTGGCATGTCAGTGATTGCGCCTCAAACATACCCTATATTATAATTCAATTTGGCAGATGGTTATTTTTTAACTAAACGGTAAAAAGCAATAATTAGTCAGAAAAAGACCTTGAGTTTTCATCTATATACGCTTATACGTATCTTTTATTCTTTCAAAAATATAATAATGTGAAATTAGTTGTTTTTTTTTAAATAGATGTTTTTTCATAAAATGATGAGTTTTTTGAAAATGTTTTGTACTAAGGTTGTGGTATTTTCCAGAGTCCATCAAAATCTCTTAAACCAAGTTACTTCCAGATGGAATACGATTATTTTTATTGTTTATTATTATTTTCATTATTTACGATTATTTTGGTTGAAATGGCACTCATAAACTATTTGATTTAAATGAAAAAAAAAAACATAGTATGCGTCTTTTATTTGCATAATAGCTTACTCATTTTACACGTAGAAGTACTCATTTTAAAGCGTATTTTAAGCACTATAAAACCCTACTTTCTAGCCTAATATTGTTCCTAGAATACTTTATAAAACACCAATTTATTAAGACTTTAATTGATATAATTTTGATCATTACATCAGTCTAAATTATTTTCACTTTTAAACTTGAGAGTAAGATGAATCTAATTATAAATTGCATGCAAATTGGAACACAGTAAAAAAAATTCTGACAGGAAACGCTACATTGACTTGAGTTAATATTCCGTATCCAATGCCGAACATATGCATTTTTGACACAATGAAACTTCCAAATAATTTTTTAAATAAGTAAATTTTTTTGTATTGAGATTTAATAAAGTAAGGCAAAACACGACTGCAGTAGTTAAAAGATAATAATCTGTCAAATTAATTATAAAGGGTATATTCACAGACAGTCCACAGCCGCCAGGCGCATGCGCAAATTGTTTCTGTGCTAAATATATAATGTATCTTATATTATTTTAATTTTTGACACATCTCAGCTGCTTTTCGGCAATAATAATGTAGACATTACATTTTTTTTATTCATAATCATAAATATATTTTATTTTAATATTGTCTTAACCTATAAGTGAAATGTTTGGCAAATGACAGTCTTCATTTCTTTTTAATGTCAAACAATGCCTCAAATTTTCAATGTCAATTAATGATAAGCGGTTTTTAGTAATTTTTAACTTCCCGTAGGGCAAGTTATAGTAATCGCAAAAAAATCGAAAATGAAAATTTTTATATATCTTTACGTTTCAGAGGTTTCTGAACATTTTGGCATACCTTAGAAAAAATGGATGTATGTGTGTGTGTGTGTGTGTGTGTGTATGTGTGTGTATGTATGTACGTGTGTGTATGTATGTGCGGATACAAATTTTCGTCGACGATTTCGGGAACACGGATCAACCGATTTGAATAATTCAAAAAGCATTCGATTCGTATTGATAAGGAGACGTGCTGATTAGTTTTTGGCGAAGGCAGGTCAAGCCGTTCCAAAGATACGGGGCAAAAAGTGCCGAAAACGGTAACTCAGTTTTTAAGAGAACGGAGCGTCCGATTTGAATAATTCAAAAAACATTTTACTTGTATTGACAAGATGAAGAATTGATCAAATTTTCATGAAGACAGGTCTAGCGGTTTCGGAGATCTAATGATAAAAATAAAAAAAAATGCCATTTGGCGGTCAAAAATGATCATTAGACATATGCACATCAAATTATCAGATATTTTATAAAGATTTTAACAATAAGTATAATTTTTTTTTACATTTTTATGGGTTCCGTACCAATGCTTATCCGTTAGACGGCGGGCACGGCAGTTGCGCGCTTTGACATTTTGTCTCTATGCAGATAAAGCAGTACGATTGCTTTGAAAAACAGTTCAGAATTTCCAAAGTATGTCAAAATGAAAAAAACTTTTTTTTTCAAAAAAATTTTGTTTTCAAAAAAAAATTTTTTTTTCAAAAAAAGTAATTTTTTGTCAAATTTATAGTTTCTCTCTAATTTTTTCGAAGTAAAATTTTTTTCAAAAATGTTAATCGTTTTTCAAAAAATAATTTTTGGTACGGGAAGTTCCAGCAATTTGCCTTAAGGCACGATGCCTTAATTGCCTTAAGACAGAATTCCACTTACAGCTAGTTTCCATTTATTTCTATAATCTAACTATATTTCTATAAGTCAAAAAATCCTAGAAAATTCTTTAATAAACTTCAGGTAGATTTATGAAAATTCTAATGATCGTTTAGGAGGATTAACCTTTAATACCCCATTACAGAAGAATTTTATATATAAGATATATATATATATATATATATATATATATATATATAATGTAATACCTGTTTTTACAGGAGTTGCAAAGCCACTTAGACCCTTTTGACCAACAGGTGTTTCTGAACCTTTCGTACCGAAAACGTCACCAGGTCTGCCCTGACCACCTGAACCAAATAAGCTTCCTCCACTGCTCGGTAATTTTCCAATACTTCCAAAACTACTTGGTATGCCTTGAGTCACTGGACCGCCCGGACCTTTTGGGCCTCCAGAACTTATTGGACCATAAGGTCCTTTTAGACCGCCGGGTCCGCTGGGACCGCTGGATCCGCTGGGACCGCTGGGTCCGCTAGGACCGCTTGGTCCTTTTGGACCGCCGGGTCCGCTGGGACCCCTGAGTCCGCTGGTTCCGCTGGGACCGCTTGGTCCTTTTGGACCGCCGGGCCCGCTGGGACCGCTGAGACCGATAGGACCGCTGGGTCCGCTGGGACCGCTGGGACCGCTGGGTCCGCTAGGACCGCTTGGTCCTTTTGGACCGCCGGGCCCGCTGGGACCGCTGAGACCGCTAGGACCGCTGGGTCCGCTGGGACCGCTAGGACCGCTGGGTCCGCTAGGACCGCTTGGTCCTTTTGGACCGCCGGGTCCGCTGAGACCGCTGGATCCGCTCGGACCGCTTGGTCCGCTAGGTCCGCTAGGTCCGCCGGGCCCACTTGGACCGCTGGGTCCTCTTGTACCACCTGGTCCGCTTGAACCACCTGGACCAAAACTGCCAAACCCGCCACCTTTGAAATAAATTATAAACGTACGCTTTATAATTAATATCATATATTTGCAGATTTTTTAGAAATGGCGAGTGTTTTTAGACCACTAAAGCCACTCACAATACCTGGGCCACTTGAACCTCGTAAATCTTCTGGCCTTACTCCAGTTGAGGCTCCTGGAGATCTAGAACCGTCCTTCACTGGAAGATACCCTCTCTGGATGGTACCGCCTAAACCATCTGGTCTACTTGGCTTACTCTGACCATAGGGGCCAACTAAACCTGGAGCTTCAGGGCCGCCGAAGCCTCCAAGGGCTCCTGGTCTGCCGCCATCGACTGTGCCAAAAGGGCTTTTTGTGCTACTCGGTGGACTCCGAGCACTGCCTGGAATATTTTGAGCAAATGGACCACTAGGTGTTTTTGGAGCACCTGGTATATTTGGACCACCTAGACCAACTATGCTTTCTGTGCTACCCGGAAATTTTCCAGGATATCCAAAGCTGCTTGGAACACCTTGAATGGCAAGACCACCTGGAACTTTTGAACCTTCCGTACCTGTTGGACTACTGGGTCCGCTTGGACCACCGGGTCCTCTTGGCCCACCGGGTCCTCTTGGCCCACTGGGCCCGCTTGGCCCACCGGGTCCGCTTGAACCACCGGATCCTCTTGGACCACCTGGACCTTTTGGCCCTCCCGCGCTACCAACGCCCTTTGGACCTCCAGGTCCACCCAATCCTGACGGACCACCGGGTCCCTCAGATTTTCCAGGTGCACCGTAACCGCCAAATCCGCCACCTTCAAAGAGAGTTACAAAGGCATGCTCTTAATTAATGTTATTATGTAAGAAGTCGTATTTGTTTTTCATAAATCACCTGGACCACCTTGATGTATGTAATCTTGTGCCCCTGGTCCATCTAAAATATTGTTTTATATATTATTTATTTTATGTAAATATCACTGTTATTACTAACTGCTCTTCTAATAATTACCTGGTCCAACTTGATGAACATATTGACCGTCATTATCGGATTTATATCGCCCACTTTGATCCGATTTAACTTTATCCGGTCTATATTGACCACTCTCAGATGGGATGCCTAAGAATAAATAATATAATTAAAAAATTATATTAATACTTTACTAAATTACTGGCATTATAGTATTAATGGCATATTATTGATCTTTTCAGCATGACAATACTTGATGTTCATACTATGTTGAAATCTTATTTTGTTAAATAATGGAAAGAGTAAAGTTGTATGTAAATTTCCATTGTATCAAACAAATAATCAAACTAATTCGTGTAAGTTATAGTAATTGTCCAAAAATCGTTTTGTAAGATTCGTAAAGACTCTTGCGATCAGACATGGTAAAGTGTGTGTGATCAGCTAACAAAGTTGATGTGAGGCATTAAATGCTATATAATTGATTGTAAACGCCGATTAAACAGAAAAGTAGCTAAAAGCGCCAACGTAAAAAATCCGCAAGAAAAAGTCAAACTTTTTACTAAATTCTATAGTTGTTCTATCTATGAGTGGATTCAAACTGTAATCGTCCTTGAAACATATTGAATGAAAATAATGTGTTAGAAAACGAAGCAATAGATCTTTTTATATTTTTCCGCATTCTTCACCTATTGTATCGTTTTATAACCCATTATTTTCATTTATAAATTACTAGCTGTACCCCATCATGTGTTGCTGTATTATATGTACATATAAATAGAAATCTTAACAAAAACGCAGTTCTATTACATCCAGAGTTTAATATGGAAAATAGCGCTCGTATCTTTCGCGATTTATTGTTGTGTTGACCTATATTAGATGCATCATCGAGGAAAATATCCCATTAAGCATCACAACATATCAGCTTATAAAAATATAAGCATTTGACAGTAATTAAGTAATTACACTGTAAGAATCAACCATCATATATTACAGCAGTTTATAACACATTATCAGACAATCAATTCACGACACATATTCAAAAAATATCTCAGTTATTGACTAAATATAGAAATATGGTTTTGGTTATTTTTACTCAAAAAATGTTCATCTGTCTCCTTTTACCCCATAGGCGGCAAACACATCCATTGTCTTATTTTTAATTATAAGGCATTTTTTCTACATAAAAGCTACATTATTCACCCTATGCCAATTACAAATTTTATGGAATTTTTTTTACAAATGTTATACCTAAATATTCATGCTGGCCAACCCTCACTCTGAGTTTGTGATTAAAGAGTGAAACTGGCACCAGATGTATTTTTTAATTACGTATTATAGAAAAATGGTACAAAATTTAAAAAAAATAGTGGTGACCAACCCTTAACAATTGGATTCAATAAAAATATGCGTAAACCTGTCCGGAATATATTTAAAAATTTACAAAAAATTCACGGCGATCTAATGTTTTCGATTGCATAACGAATAAAAATAAAATAAACAATCAGTGGTAGGCAGCCAACCCTAATACCGGCTTTGTAATAAAAGGGTGAAAGTGGGGCTATATTTACTTTTAATTACGCGTTATAAAAAAATTGGCCCGAAATTAAAAAAAACGTCAATGGTGGCCAAGTCGCTTAACACATGGGTTCAATAAAATTATGTGAAAACCTGCCGGGGATATACTTAATAATTTCCCAAAATTTCACGCCAATCCGATGTATAGTTTTTGAATCAATAAAGGACATACAGATAGACATACTTAGATTTTTGTGCTTGGAATACCTTGAACGCCAAGGCCACCTGGACCTCTTAATCCGCCGGGGCCACTTGGAACACCGGAACCTCTTGAACCACCAAAACCTGTTGGACCACCTTGCCCGCTTGGACGAGAGAGTCCACTTGAACCGCCTGGAATTTTTGGACCGGCCACGCCTCTCTCAGCGGATTCTCCGGGTCTTTCAGATCTACCAATTCCTGTGCTACCCGGTAATTTTCCAAAAGTTCCAAAGCTGCTCGGGATACCTTGAATGCCAGGACCAACTGAACCTTTTGGGACACCTAAACCTGTTGAACCACCTAGTCCACTTGGACTACCTGGTCCTTTTGGACCAACTGGACCTTTTGGACCACCTGGACCTTTCGGACCACCAGGACCTTCTGGACCACCTGGACCACCTAAACCTTTTGGACCACCTGGACCTTTTGGACCACCTGGACCTTTTGGACCACCCAAACCACTTGGACCATATGGTCCTTTTGGACCATCCGATCCTCTCGAATCGCCAACGCCCTTCGGACCCCCAGGCCCACCAAATCCTATCGGACCTCCAGGTTCTCCAGGTCTTCCGAATCCACCGTAACCGCCAAAGCCGCCATCTATATAATTGATTATAAATGCCATATTAATGTCATGTAACAAGTTACATGTATTATTAGTAACACAAATCACCTGGACCCTTTTGATGTATGTAATCTTGTGCTCCTGGTCCATCTGAAGTATTGTTGTATTTAATTTAAGTAATTATTGCTGTAATCACCCTTTACCATATTAATAATTACCTGGTCCAGCTTGATGAACGTATTGACCGTCATTATCTGGTACATATTGTCCACTTTGATCCGATTTAAACTTATCTGGCGTATATCGACCACTCTCAGATGGGGTGCCTAAAAATGAACAAAATAATTATTTCATTATATTAGTACCTAACTAAATTACTGACATCATAAACCACATTTTTTGATCCTTTTGATAATATAATTTTGTTAAACACAGCAAAGAATAACGTTTTATAGAGTCTACTTTTGGGTTAAAATAATAATAGGACAGAAGTTATTAAGCACCAAAAAAACATAACTAAAGGTGCTTGGCATCGTGCGTTCATTTCTGGAAATTTCCGTACAGTAATTTGTACGTGTGTGTTACCATATGTTACCATTGAATGTGTGGATAGGGATACCATATTTCGTCCATAATTTCAGTCGTACGGATTAACCGATTTGAATGATAAGTTTTAGGCAAAAACAGTTTCAGCGGTTTCGGAAATACGTAGCAAAAATTGCAGTTATTAAGAAAAAGAATCCTCTTAGGATAATTTAAGGAACCATTTTGGTTGTCTCGGCAGTAAAAGAAAATATTAGTTTTTGGGGAAGGATTTTTTTTTTAAATATCAAAAGAATTTTTATTTAATTACCAAAATATATATTTTTAATTTTAATTTCAGCTAAAATTCTAAAGCTCACTTATATATTTCAAATAAATAATTTTAGTTTTGCAATTCAGTTTATATAATCTTAGAAATATGAGATTAGGTTTTTTAATTCTCACTCCGCTTGATAAAGTTTTGTTTATTTACTTTCGACGTAAACGTACAAATAATAAAAGTTACAATATTTATAATAATCTATTTGAAAACATTTAAAATTCCTTGAAAATTTCATTACGGTACGGCAAGTTTCAGCAATGTGCCTTAAAGCACGATGCCATGCAAACCTGGTTTATATAGGCAAGAAATAAAGTCAAATTTTCACAATCAGTATATTAAAAATGCACGACGTATACGTGCGTGCTAATAGAGCTCATCAATCGAAGGAACAAATTGCAGAAACAACCGCAGCTCAACGAATCAGAAGAGAAACATTCGTAGACATTATATATTAAGAATAAGATCTGCGCGAGAACGGCATAGAACCATATTTATACTTTATCGAATTAGGCGAACAGAACAATGTCCAATTTTAATTTTTATGCGGGAGATGTATATGAAGAATACAGTTTTGATCGAAGATTTATGCGGTTTAACTTCAAATTTCCCACTTAGTCATTATAAAATGCCATCACCTAATCGACCGTCTTATGATTTATTTAACACTGATTTTTAACGAGAGAAACTATACAATAGCAAATAATGGGCCTTTGCTGACAGCCAAACAAAAAATGTTTATAATCACATAATGCTGACCGTTGATCCTAAGCAAGGTGTATTTTTTTCTTAGGCTCACCAGGTGCTAAAGATACGATCCTAACAAAAGACTGATGAGCAACTGCATGGTCAGGCATTGCTGCTACTTTGTTTGTCTGTACAAACAGCACATTTAATATTGAAACTTTCCATTAGACATTCATAACGAATCAAACGCAATGTGTAACATTAAAAAAGCGGAATGGCTACTGTGTTGTAAAAGAATGCAATTATAATTTGAGATAAAAGTACTATGGCCCATAAATGTTCACTTGAAGCATTTCGTATAACTAAGCCAGATTTGAAAGGCAACAAGAAACATTTCGGTGATACTGCTTTAATGGAGTCTAATTATTATCGGCAGACTTCACTAATTATTCCTCACTATACTTTTTTCTGCTTAAATAATTACGCATGCTTAAAACAATTTTCATGAACAAGTCAAAATAATTTAATCATAAATATGAATAACTATAAATTACTCAACCACAGAAATGCGTGACTGTCAGTTAATATATATATATATATATATATATATATATATATATATATATATATAAGGCTGAATCCCTTTTTATTTCCTTAAATTCCTCTTGTGTTAATAAACGCAATTCATCCCACCTTTTACATGACAGTTACCAGCTAATTATTGATTTTATTAAAAAAACAAAAAATTAATTTGCTATCTCCTTATATTATTTTTTACATTTTTGTTTATTCTTGTTCAAACTTTTACATGTTTTGCTTTTTCCTTTTGATCAAATCCACTTCAACCACTCTTGTACGAGGCGTTCGTGCCACTTGCAATTGTCCTTCGAATATTCCCCTCCCATTCCTATCAATACGCCTAGTGAAATATTACAGTCTAGTATTTTGCTCGGTATGGGCGTGTTTCTCGCTTCATAATGTTACATTTCAAAACTTTTAGTCAAATTAGTTTTCAAATCTTTTAATTATTCATAATTTTTTCCAAAAAAATGTTTTTTTCTAATATGTTATAAATTTTTTTTTTTAAATAAAAAATTTTTTTGAGTGTTTTTGTCCTGTGGTGTGTATAATGTTTCTCTATGTTATAATTAATCTTGGTTAATTTGGTGTTTATATTAGTTAATAAAATTTTCAAATTGTTGTAGTTGCTGAATGATGCCACGCATCTTGTGTCGAAACGCATAAATAAAAGTTTTTAATACTTTTTACCTTTTTTATTTCGACGAATGGGCTGCTAGTTACATTGAAATATGTTTCAACGTCGAAAAAACCATCAAGATATATATATATATATATATATATATATATATATATATACGTGTATATATATATGTGTGTGTGTGTGTGTGTTTGTGTGTGTGTGTATATTGTCATACCTGATCTTGCGGGACTACCAACGCCACTTGGACCTATTTGACTACCCGGTGTTCTTGAACCTTTCGTGACAAATACGTCACCAGGTTTGCCTAGACCACTTTGACCAACAGGACTTCGTATGCTACCCGGTAATATTCCAGGAGTTCCATAGCCAGGTCCTTTTGGACTACCGGGACCTCTTGGACCACTGGGTCCACTTGGACCACCGGGACCTTTTGGACCACTGGGTCCACTTGGACCACCGGGACCTCTTGGACCACCGGGACCTCTTTGACCACTGGGTCCACTTGGACCACTGGGTCCACTTGGACCACTGGGTCCACTTGGACCACCGGGACCTCTTAGACCACTGGGTCCACTTGGACCACCAGGACCTCTTGGACCACTAGGACCTTTTAGACCACCGAGGCCGCTTGGAGCACCAAGGCCACTTGATCCGCCTGGACCTTTTGTACCGCCCGCGCCTCTTGGACCTTCTGCACCACCGAATCCAGTCGGACCCCCGGGTCCTCCAGGTCTTCCAGATCCGCCGAAACCGCCAAACCCGCCACCTTCAGAATAAATGACAAAAGCACGTTTTATTAGTAATGTCATTATGTAACAAGTTATGTGTATTATTCCTTAATTACCTGGACCTTCTTGGCGTATGTAATCTTGTGCTCCTGGCCCATCTGAAATATCGTTATATTTATTTTAAATAATTAATGTTATAAGCATTCATTGCTATATTAGTAAATACCTGGCCCAGCTTGGTGAACATATTGACCATCATTATCCGGTTTATATTGCCCACTTTCATCCGGTTTATACCTATCTGGTCTATATTGACCACCTTCAGTTGCTGCACCTAAGAATAGACAAAATAATTAGTTAATTGAATAATTACTTAACTAAATCACTGTCATCATTATTCACATTTATTGATCCTTCTACCCGGCAATACATTTATTAATTAATGCTAAGAATGAAGATTCATTTACTCCGCTAACTTAACAGGAATTATTGCATTCAAGTTCTTAAGCATCATAGAGATTATAATGACAATTTCAACATTGGATCAATTCTAGTAGCACGTACACATACACACATACACACACATATACATATATATATATATATATATATATATATATATACTAGATGACCCGACAGACGTTGTCCTGTACCCACATAATTATTGTTTATCGAATTACTATTTACACCAATATATAAGTGATGTTAAATGTAGAACTGCTTCAAATAAAATGATGATTCTTAATTCCAACAGTTAATACTTTAATTATCCCTTTAACAAATATTAAAATATGTTCAATAAAATTTTATATTAAAAATTATACACTGAGAACAAATTTATTTCCAATAGCTCAATTTATTTTAATACCAAGGGTTATAAAATTTTTTTAGTCATACCTGTAGATATGGATGTATAAATAAATGATTTTTTGTTTATTCGCGACTTAAACATTGATTTTCCAAATTTATCACACAAAAAATCATCGTCTGCCTTTATGATTTATGGTCATAATTTATGGTGATAACATAAGAGATTTATTATAATTTTCATTGATGTAATTTTGTTCATTACATGATTTTCGTTAAAAGGTATATTTTTAAAGATATTAGCAAAAACGATGAAAAACGCAAAAAAGATACGAATTTTCAGTATCCAGTAACTTGAAAAGTATTTGCTTTTTTGAAAAACATTATTAAACATTTTACTCTTCTAATTAGTTCTTTTATCGATATCCGACGTTATTTTGAAAAAAGTAAAATTACACCACAGAGAAGAAATGTACTCCCCCCGGGAAGTGGCAAAAGAGTGTAAATTATTTTTACTTTTAAACTTGAGAGTAAGATGAACCTAATTCCAAAATTCCAAATTTTCGTCAAATCTCGATTGACTTGAGTAAATATTCCGTATCCAATGACAAACATATGAATTTTTGACACAATAAAACTTCTAAATAATTTTTTGAAAAAGTAAATTATTTTTGTATTGTGATTCAGTAAATTAAGGCAAAACACGACTGCATTAGTTAAAAAATAATAATCAGTCAAATTAATTATAAAGGGTATATTCACTGACAGTCTACAGCCGCCAGGCGCATGCGCAAACTGTTTATGTGCCAAATATATAATGTATCTTATATTATTTTAATTGACAGCAAATGACAGTCTTCATTTGTTTTTAATGTCAAACAATGCCCCAAATATTTTCAATGTCAATCAATGATAAGCGTTTTTTTGTAATTTTTTCTAGTTATTTCTACAATCTAGCTATATTTCTGTGAATCAAAAAATCCTAAAAAAATCCCTTAACAAACTACAGAAAAATTTATGAAAATCTAAATAATATTTTATGAGAGATTAACATTTCATACCCCATTACAGAAGAATTGTATATATAAGATATATATATATATATATATATATATATATATATATTCATACCTGTGCTTGCAGGGCTTCCAAAGCCACTTGGACCTTTTTGACCACCCAGTGTTGTTGAGTCTTTCGTGCCAAAAACGTTATTAGGTCTGCTTTGACTACCTGTAACAACTGGGCTACCTGGGCTACCTGTGCTACCAGGTGAAATTCCAGGAGTTCCAAAGCTACTTCGAATACCTTGAATTCCAGGACCATCTGGACTTCTCAAACTTCCGGAACCTGTTGGACCACTGGGACCTCGTGGTTCGGTTAGACTACCAGGTCTACTTGAACCACCTGGTTCCTTTGGACCGCCAGCACCTTTCGAAACTCCTATAGTACCTGGACCGCCAAATCCTGTAGGACCACCTGGTCCGCTTAGACCACCAGGTCCTCTGGGACCACCTGGACCTTTTGGACCACCTGGACCTTTTGGACCACCTGGACCTTTTGGACCACCTGGACCTTTTGGACCATCTGGACCTTTTGGACCACCTGGACCTTTTGGACCACCTGGACCTTTTGGACCACCTAATCCACTTGAACCACCTATGCCATCTGGACCACCAAATCCTGTTGGACCTCTGGTTCCTCCAGGACTTCCGAATCCACCGGAACCGCCAAACCCGCCACCTTTAAAGTAAATTACAAATGCCTGTTTCATACATAAAGTCGATATGTAACTAGTATGTGTCTTATTCATAAATTACCTGGACCCTCTTGATGTATGTAATCTGGTGCTCCTGGTCCATCTGAAATATAGTTATATTTATGTTAAATATGTAAATAATGCTTTAAAATTGATTACTATACAAAACAATACCTGGTCCAGCTTGATGAATATATTGACCATCATTATTAGGTTTATATTGCCCACTTTCATCCGGATTATACTTATCTGGCCTATATTGACCACTTTCAGATGGGAAGCCTGAGAATAAACGAAATTATTAGTCTATTATTACTTCACAGGTATTGATCCTTTCAGCTAGGCAATACGATGGAATTCGCATTATGTTTACTTAAAATGATTACATTTAGTTAAATAATTTATATATTTATAAACCTCTAGACTACTAAACCGATTTTAAGTTTGGTTTGCTCACCATGTGCATTTATATCCAACTTGACCGATAAACAATATTAGAAATAACAATTCAAAGTTGATATATTGAATTATTGGTAATTTTTCCAACTAATTTTTATGGTCGTAAATTTATAAATACAAAATCCATTTAAATGACAGTAAGTGTTAAAATCTAATCATTGATGCAATCTTTGAAAATAAATTAATTGTTTACATTTCATTTGCTCACCGTTTGCATTTGGATAGTGAAAAGTCCAAAAGATATTATAAACCTAAATTAAAGAATTTTATAAACGCACACACATACATATTATATATATATATATATATATATATTTATATATATACACATATATATAGTGTTATACCCGTTTTTGCAGGACTTCCAAAGCCAGTTGGACCTTTTTGACCACCCGGTATTTTTGAATCTTTGGTGCCGAAAACGGGTCCTGTGCTACCCGGTAATTTATTAGGAGTTACAAAGCTGCTTGGGATACTGCCAGGACCACCAGGACCTTTCGGGCCACCTAAACCTGTTGTACCACCGTGTCTTTGTGGCCCACTTGGTCCGCTTGGACCACCAGGTCCTCTTAGCCCACTGGGTCCACTTGGTTTACCGGCACCTCTTGGGCCACCAAAACTGTTTGGAATACCTTGTCCACTTGGACCAACTAATCCTCCTGGACCTCTTGCATCGACCGCGCCTCTCGGTCCTCCTATTGCACCAGGACCACCATATCCTATTGCACCGGGTTCTCCAGGCTTTTCAAACCCACCAATTCCTGTGCTACCCAGTAATTTTCCAGGAGTTCCAAAGCTGCTTGGGATACTTTGAATGCCAAAACCGCCAGGACCTTTCGAGCCACCTAAGCCCGTTGGACCACCGGGACCACTAGGCCCATTGGGACCACTGGGTCCGCTAGGACCACCAGGTCCACTTAGGCCACCGAAACCGCTTGGCCCACCTAAACCTATTGGACCGCCCGAGCCACTCGGACCTCCTATGCCACCTGGACCACCAAATCCTATCGGACCCGCGGGACCTCCAGGGCTTCCGGATCCACCAAAACCGCCAAACCCTCCACCTTTGGAGTAAATTACAAAGGACGCTCCATAATTAAGATCAACATGTAACAAATTATGTATATTATTCATAAATCACCTGGACCCTCACGATGTATGTAATCTGGAGCTCCAGGTCCATCTGAAATATTGTTACAATTATTTTAAATGTGTAATTACTGCTGTAATCATTAGTTCCTACTCATATCATTACCTGGCCCAGCTTGATGAACATATTGACCATCATTATCTGGTTTATATTGCCCACTTTCATCCGGTTTATATCTATCTGGCCTATATTGACCACTTTCAGATGGGACGCCTAAAGATGAACGAAATTATTAGTTTAATTATACTTCACATATATTGATCCTTCTAGCTAGGCAATACGGTATTGTTCATATTCTGTTTACAAAATATTTTGCTGAATAACACTATTTTTAGAATAATTTTAGTCTTCCGTTTGAAACGAACAATTGGATTTAAGTTTGTAAGCACCAAAAACAGCAATTCTGAGCACGCCTATACAAAAACATACCAATACCTATATATATATATATATATATATATATATATATATATATAATGCCATACCTGTTATCGCAGGACTTCCAACACCAGGACCACCTACACCTTTCGGACCACCTACACCTTTCGGACCACCGGAACCTCTTGGACCACTTGGCCCACTTGGACCACTTGGCCCACTTGGACCACTTGGCCCATTTGGACCACTTGGCCCACTTGTAACGCTAGGCCCACTTAGACCACTAGGCCCACTTGGACCACTAGGCCCACTTGGACCACCGGATCCGCTTGGACCACTGAGCCCGCTAGGACCACCAGGTCCACTTAGGCCACCGAAACCGCTTGGACCACCTGAACCTTTTGGACCGCCCGCGCCTCTCGAACCTTCTGTGCCACCTGGACCACCAAATCCTATCGAACTCCCGGGTCTACCAGGTCTTCCGGATCCACCAAAGCCGCCACCTTTAAAATAAATTATAAATGCACGCACCATAATTATTTTAATTATGTAAAAAGTTATATGTATTATTATAAATCAAATCACCTGGACTTCCTTGATGTATGTAATCTTGTGCTCCTGGTCCACCTAAAATTATTTTATATTTATTTTATGTAATTATTGCTGTTATTAACGTTATTTAATTATTACTTGGCCCAGCTTGATGAACATATTGACCATCACTGTCCGGTTTATATTTCCCACTTTGATCCGATTTAAACTTATCTGGTCTATATCGACCGCTTTCAGATGGGGCGCCTAAAATGAGCGAAATAATAAGGGGTGTTCATATTGACTTGAAATTCACATATATATATATATATATATATATATATATATATACCAGTTCTTGCAGGACTGTCAGAGCCACCCGGTGTTGAAACTTTCGTACCCTTAGAAGCCCCAAACTGTTGTGGCTCTTTGATAAAACCGCCTGGTCTAATTAAGCTTCCTGTGCTACCCGGTAATTTTCCAGCACTTCCAAAGTTGCTTGAAATACTTTGAATGCCTAGACCACCTAAACCTGTTGGGCCTCCTGGGCCTGTTGGACCAGCAGCCCCTCCTGGACCACCAGGCCCACTTGGACCACGGGGTCCTCCTGAACCACCGAGCCCACTTGGACCACGGGGTCCTCCAGGACCACCGAGCCCACTCGGGCCGTGGGGTCCTCCTGGACCACCGGGCCCACTTGGACCACCTAGTCCGCTTGGACTACCTGACCCGCCGGGACCACCGGTTCCGCTTGGACCACCTATCCCACTTGAGCCTTTTGGACCGCCCGGGCCTCTCGAACCTCCTATTCCAGCAAGACCACCAACGCCCTTTGGACCTCCAGATTCACCGAATTTTATCGGACCTCCGGGTCCTCCAGGTCTTCCCGATCCACCAAAATCGCCAAACCCGCCACCTTTAA